CACCAAAAAAAAAAAAAAAAAAGAAAGCACAAGTAGGTGTTACAGAAACTTTGGAAGGTAGGGGGAAATAGACAGATAAGAAAAAGTTCACCAATATCCCCTCATCTGAGGTGACCACTCTCAGCGCTTTGATACATATTGTTCTATTACTTTAAACACACACACACACACACACAATGTATGGGATTATGCTGTGAACGGCATGTATCCTGCCTTTTTTCCTTCTTAACAGTCTCTAATGAGCATTTTCCCATGGCATTAAAAATGCCCTATGAACAAGATCTGAATGACTATAGAATGTTCTGCCATATGGCTGTGCTGAGATTCATAGTACCTGCCTTAATTCATATAAATATTGTCTCTAATTTAACAACATTATAGAGAACGCTAGGATGAACTTCCCTGAAATATATTTTCGTCTATAGCATTCACCAGATTTTAGCATCTTCTCCCCTAAAACTCTCTGCTTCTTCCCAACCAACCCCTGACCTCTGCCAGGAAAACGGACTGGACTACGAAGCCTGCCTGGTTGCTCAGTGTGATGCCCTTGTGGATGCTTTAACTCGTCAGAAAGCCAAGCTGCTCACCAAGGTGACAAAGGAGAGGGAACACAAGTTGAAGGTAGGTACCTGAGAGACTGACACATTGAATCCCTGCCACATCCTCTGCACCTAGCGTGGGGTGGAGCACCCAGTAGGCACTGGGTAAATATTGGCTAAGTGAGTGAATGAATGACCTAATGAATGAATGAGACAAAGAAGGGATGCACCAGCTGGTTCAGTTACATTCATGTGACCTGACAGAGACCAATCAATATGCCCTGTATCTTGAGGATTTCAAGTCAGAGGCCCACCTTCTCCCTCCCTGTTTCTATCTAAGGGACTATTCTTGTTCTCATTTTGCAGAGCAGAAGTGACCAATGACAGTGACTAGCGCTGACCCTGTTCAGGTCTCCAGCTCTGTCCCCTTCTTCAGGTCCTCTCTGATAGCTCATGTCCTCAACAGTCAGCAATAACATACACAGCCAGTTACCACCAAGGGAAGACGAGACTCTCCCCTCACATCACGCTGAGTCCCTGACTCAACCAGGCACCCATGAACTCTCTGAGTTGATGACGGGCTGTCACTGTTTGAGGAGCTCCATCTGTGCTAGAGACATTTCATAACTGGACCAGAAAATACTACTGTCAAGAAAAGCAGAAATGCATGCTGGAGATGATCCCATGGTTCATAAGTGAGGGGGCTAAGACCATCGCATTATCCAGGGCCACGGAGAGGTCAGAAGCCAGTCAAGAAGCTGGTCACTGATTGTATGGAGAGTTCCAGATTATGCTGTTTCTCTGCATGACTGTCATGAGTTTAGAAAGGTTTCTGTGTTGGGTGTTGTAGCCCTGCTTCTTGGGAAGTGAGTCCACTTATTTCCCAGCAAAGAGCTCAGCAGTAGAGCCGAGACAGGAGTGGGTGCGAGGTGGTCAGGCCAGCGCCGCTTTTACCAGGCTGTATTGGCGCTAGTTCTCTGACTCTTGCCGTGGCCTGCCTGCTCTTCCTCTCAGGAGACAGTTACTTAGAGGAATCTTTCCATTGCAGATGGTTTGGGACCAGATCAATCACTGCACACTGAAGCTGCGTCAGTCCACCGGACTGATGGAGTACTGCCTGGAGGTGATCAAGGAGAACGACCCCTCGGGGTTCTTACAGGTGAGCCTGTCCCTGGAAGACACCAGATGGTCTTCCTCCAACTGTCCCACTGTTCCCCAAATCAGTCCAAATTCCAGTCAAGATCCTTTCCTGGCTTGGATTGAGCAGATTCTCCTTTGCTCAGTGATTCCAGAAGACCTAGGGTCTCGCCTTGGCTCTGACTCTCACTAGATGTGACCTAATTTTGCAGCACGCATGAAACGAGGAGGTGAAATGACATCATCTCTAGGGCTGAAATGCCTCACTGCAACATTTTCCCCACAAACGGGAAAGGACAGTCTTGCCAAACAAGCTAGACAGATTGCACCGGAAGAAGCAAGTTAGCAGAATCCACATGGCCCATTATCTCAATGTGCAGAGTCCTGCAGGCATGGCTGGTGACCAGCTGCCTACAGAGACAGTGCAATCTTCTCGGGGCCATCTCTCCTGCATTCAGGCTGACTCAGGGTCATGAGTATCTCTCAGGAACATGGCAGTGATTCAGCCTCTGTCAGTGGGGAAAATGATGAATCCCTTTGATTGTTTCCCAAGAAAGATACACGAGATCCTGGCTCGACAGGAACACGTGCAAATGTCTGATAAGCAGGACTTTCCAGCAAAGGGGAGCAGAACCATGGGTGTGATGCAGTCAAGTTTGGAGCAGAAGTTGCAGAACTCAGAGGAAACACACGGGCAGGGAGCAGATGTGGGCTCAGAAATTTTAGGGGTGTGGAATATGCTTTCTTTAGACACTGGGGCAAACTGCTAGTATGTTTCACTTTGCAAAGTACTAGATCTAGGAAAACAGATCTAATGAAGGATGCATTTGTATATTTAAAAAGCATCTTGTATTTCTCAACAGTGTTTGCTACACTCTCTTTAAGCAGCGAGTGCTTCTTTTCATGTGATTCTGAAATATGATTGAAACAATATTTCAATGCATTTTTAGACAGCCTGTGCTGGGTGGGCAGGGGTCATTTAATCTCTGCCATGGCTCGAGAGCACAACCCTTTTCTGTCTCTGAGTCCCATAGAGACAAAGCCCCTACCTCTTCCTCACCCCTGGCTGCACAATTTTTCCTTTGCAAAGCAAAACCTTAAACTCTTTGCTCTCCTTTAAGATCTCAGATGCTCTGATCAAACGCGTCCAGGTGTCTCAGGAGCAGTGGGTCAAAGGCGCCCTGGAGCCAAAAGTGTCTGCGGAGTTTGATCTGACCTTGGACAGCGAGCCGCTGCTGCAGGCCATCCACCAGCTGGACTTCATTCAGATGAAATGTAGGGGTGAGCCGCGGTTGGCCCCAGTTCAGTTAGTGCTTCTTTCAAAAGAGGCATGCAGTCTGAGAGGCAGCTTGGTGCCATAGGGGAACCTGTGATGCACAGAGTGTGGCAGGGTGGGAGAGTCGGAACACCAGAGTCACGGACCTAGGTTCAAGTCCCAGCTCAGCCCCTGACAGTCATGTGAGCTGGAGTGAGAAGCACCCAGTCAGAATCTGAGGCTTCCCATTTGTGAAAAAAACAATCATTTGTTCAACAACAATCATTTGTTCATTCAGAAGTGCTTGGGGAGTGTCTACCATGTGCCAGGCACTATTCCACATGCTCAACATGCAGTGGTGAACAAGTCTACCAACTCACAAGATTGGGCTTACACTCTCGAGCAGGAAATAGACACTAAACAAATGTATAATAGAATGTTGGATGGTGGCAGGTGCTATGAAGAGGAATCAGAGGAAGGGGCAGCAGTAGATGCCATGGGGTGAGATTTGGGGTTAGGAGGAGGAAGTGGTGGAGAAGGAGGAAGAGGTAGTGGAGGAGGTAATGGAGGAGGAGGAGGTAGTGGAGGAGGAGGAGGAAGAGGTGGAAGAGGAGGAGGTGGTGGCTGAGATAGTGGAGGAGGAGGTGGAGGAGGTAGTGGAGGAGGAGGAAGAAGAGGTAGCGGAGGAGAAGGAGGAGGTAGCAGAGGAGGAGGGGGAGGAGGAGGTGGAAGAGGAGG